GAGGACGAGCAGAAGCAACGCCTGTTCCGGTCAAGTTCAAGGCAGAACACGGCACTCAGGAACTGGGTTACATGGGCACGTTGAGGTAATGGCTGAATAAACATGAGCCGTCGAACCATGGAACCTTGGCGAGTGTAGCCCGCTGTGTTAAGGCTACAAACAACCGTCATGCTACGACAATCTACAAGGAAAACACACACTTGCTGGAGCAACAGAACAGTACCTTCTATATTATTACTGCTGCTACAGAAAACGACAAACTGATTCTTCATAGACCTCTCCTTTGCCCACATTTGCACTGCTAATTATCATTATCAATATTATTATTATTATTATTATTATTATTATTATTATTATTATTATTATTATTATCATTATTTTTATTATAACAATAGTACATGTAATAGCCTTGCAGTCTCGGCTTTGAGAAGAATAGGACTGATGTTGTGCTAGCGTGTCGTACGAGGCGACTAAATGGCGAACCAGGTAGTGACTCCTGAAACAGAGTCATCCTGCCTCCAGGTCGGGGGTTGAATCACGAGGCTAACAACCTCTCTTGTAAAAAGAACCTGTTACAGAAACACATACAAACAAAAACCATTATCTCTGCTTGGCTGATCGTAGATCTTCTCCAGTGAAAGCCGAAAGGAAGCTGCTGTGCAGAAGCCTCCATCATCATCCAAGTCCAAGTCTCTTCGGATAGGCTCGAGGAACGTTAGGACCCTTTACGAGGCTGGAGAAAACTGCACAAGTTCTCCAAGAAATGCACCAATAACAACTACACATACTGGGAATCAGCGAGACCCCCTTGAACCAGTCTGGACAGAAGCGAATGAAAGAGGGGGAGCTTTTCATTTATTCAGGAAATGACAGTGATGGACCACACAGGGAAGGAGTAGGGATGATCATAATCAAAAACAGCTCAAAAGACATTCAGGGGCTGGGAAGCGCATGGTCCAAGGATCATCATGGCCTCATTTGGAACTAAGAAAGAACTCAAGGTAAGAGATGGCAGGAAAAAGGTCATTAACATGAGCATCATACAAGTGTATGCTCCAACCAATGATGCAGAAGTGGAGAATAAAGATGACTTTTACAACCGCCTGCAGAACGTCATCGACAAACGTCCATGTAAGGACATCAACACTGTCATGGGAGATCTAAATGCAAAGGTAGGTTCGGACAATAGTCGCAATGAGGAAATCATGGGCAGACACGGATTAGGAGAAGCAAATGACAACGGTGAAAGGTTCCAAAACTTCTGTACATTCAACAACTTGGTCATTGGAGGCACAATCTTCCCACATAAAAGGATTCACAAGGCCACTTGGGTCTCCCCGGACGGAACAACGGAAAACCAGATGACCACTTTTGCATCTCCCGAAAGTTTAGACACTCACTGGAGGACGTCCGAGTCTTACTAGGAGTGATCCTTGGAAAGATGAAACTAAAACTGAGAAGATATGCACAAGTCACAACTGGAAATCGTCTAAAGTATGAAGTGAGACTTCTGAAAGACCCAGTAAAGAAGAATGAGTTCAGGTTGGTACTGAAGAACAGATTTCAAGCCCTTCAAGATCTGGATGAATGTGAAGTCAACGAACACTGGGATAAGATAAGAGAGGCAGTAAATGCAACTCGCCAGAGCACCCTAGGACCCAAAGACAGCACTAGGAATGAATGGATTTCACAGGACTCTCTAGACAAAGTCAAAAGAAGAAGAGAGCTGAAGGCCCAAGTCAACAACAGCCGTACCCGAACTGAGAAACTCGCTGCACAACAAGAGTACACCGAAGTAAACCGGGAGGTAAAGAATTCCATCAAGAAGGACGAGAATACCTACCTGAATGGCCTGGCCGAAAAGGCAGAGAAAGCAGCAACAGACGGGCACTTACGGGTTTTACACCAGACTACAAGAACTCTTTCAGGTAGGTTCAGCAAGCCCACTCTACCAGTGAAAGACAAAGAGGGAAAAACTATCTTCAACCCAGAGGGGCAACTTAACTGATGGAGAGAACACTTTGATCAACCATTGAACAGACCACCTCCAGAAAACCAACCAGAAATACTTCCAGCTAGAAATGACCTCCCAATAGTCACGAAACCACCTTCAAGAGAGGAAATTGCAGCTGCTATAAAAACACTGAAGTCCCACAAGGCAGCTGGTCCCGACCATATACCACCGGAAGCCCTTAAGGCAGAGAAAGATACGTTTGTGGAAATTCTCTATGCTCTATTTGAAAAGGTTTGGCAAAAGGAGGAAATACCATCAGACTGGAAGGAAGGCCACCGAAGCTGCCAACGAAAGGAGACCCCAGCAATTGTAACAACTACAGAGGCATTACACTCCTGTCCATACCTGGGAAAGTCTTCAACAAGATACTCCTGGAGAGAATCAAGCTTGCAACAGATGAGAAGCTTCGAGGAAACCAGGCAGGATTCCGCAAAAAACGATCATGTGTGGACCAGATCGCTACTCTGCGTATCATTGTTGAGAAATCGCTTGAATGGAACTCACCTCTCGTGGTCAACTTCATTTACTATGAAAAGACGTTTGACAGCGTGGACAGGGAAACTCTGAGGAAACTCATGCGCATTTTGTAATACTTGAGAAAATCGTCAAGCTTATGAAGGCCACTTATGATGGAACAAACTGCCAAGTCTTCCACGAAGGACAACTCTCAGAACCATTCCAGGTACAGACAGAAGTGCGACAAGGATGCTTGCTCTCACATTTTCTCTTCATACTGGCAATTGACTGGGTCATGAAAGAAGCCACCAGAAGCAAACGTAATGGAATACAATGGATCCCTTGGCAGCAGCTGGACGACTTAGACTTCGCCGGTGACCTTGCACTGCTCTCTCACACACATGCTCAGATGCAAGAAAAGACCAAGGAACTCAACTGCCTATCAAGGAGTGTTGGCCTACGTATACATCCAGGCAAGTCAAAAGTAGTGAAGCTAGGAAAAGTTTCAAGCCCGGTTGTGACAGTGGAAGACACTCCTCTGGAAGAAGTGGTCTCCTTTACCTACCTTGGAAGTGTCATCGATGGTAAAGGTGGAACCGGGGCAGATGTTAAAGCAAGAACCGCCAAGGCAAGGTCAGCATTCAAGCAATTATCAAAAGTCGGAAAAGCAAGCAACGTCTCACTGCGCATCAAGATTCGACTCTTTAACTCCAACGTCAAGTCTGTGCTCCTCTACGGCTGCGAAACTTGGAAGACAACGAAGACAGTACTGAATAAAGTCCAGATTTTCATCAACAGATGTATGAGGAGTATTCTAAGAATTAAGTGGCAGGATAGAATAAGAAATGGAGAGCTGTGGGAAAGGACTGGACAAAAGGATATAGAAGTAGAAATAGGACTAAGAAAGTGGCGATGGATGGGACACACCTTAAGAAAGCCCAGCGGAAACATCACAAGACAGTCACTGCAGTGGAACCCACAAGGAGCACGAGGCAGGGGTAGGCCACGGGAAACATGGAGGAGATGCGTGGAAAGGGACATGAGAGAAATGAAGCTCACTTGGAACGAGCTTGGAAGGATGGCTCAGGACAGAGATAAATGGAAGGAGCTTGTATGTGGCCTATACCCTGCCAGGGGTGAAAGGCATTGATGATGATGATGACATGTAATAATAATAATAATAATAATAATAATAATAATAATAATAATAATAATAATAATAATAATAATAATAATAATAATAATAATAATAATGCTAGAAATAATAATAATGATAGTAATAATAATAATAATAATAACACTAATGAAAAGTATGATAATAATGATAATAATGATAGTAATAATGATAATAACATTAATAACACTAATAACCATAATAATTATAATCATAATAATTATAGTAATAATAATATGGTATGGTAGTATGGGGTTTTACGGCGCTCGCAACTGCTAAGTTCATATGAGCGCGCGAAACACAAGTTGTTTACTTTCACAAAAGTTTACTGCACGGTTGGTTAGCTTTTAGCCTTTAAAATGTTAAAATTTTAAAAATCAGTGTAGACATATATAAATTTTCGATCTAAAATAATTTTTCTAGTTAACATAAAAATTTTAAATAGTATAAAATTCACTCTACAACTCGCCATAAAGCTATTATAGTTATTGTTATTATTATTATTATTATTGTTGTTGTTGTTGTTGTTGTCCCTGATGTTGTTGTTGTTGTTGTTATTATTATTATTATTATTATTATTATTTATTATCATTATTTATTTTTTATTATTGTTATTATTATTATTATTTTTATTATTATTATTATTATTATTATTATTGTCATGAAGAGGATGACCGTAACAATAATCATAATGCAGATAGTTCAATTCTGTTATCTATCTATCTATCGTTTTCAATACGCGTATCCTTTCTGCGCAAGGTTCTCTCCATATCCTATAGTATCTATCCCTTGTCAGAAACCCGTTTTGTGCTGGCTGTACAGTACAGTCTCAGCCTAGCACACTTAAAGAGCTTCCATTAATGCTTGACCTCGGTTACTTTAGTTTTTAGTGCAGGTGGTTGGAGAGCGCCACTGGAAAGTGCTAGTGTTATTATTCCTTCCCGCATTCATTTTATTTCGTCTGCCTTGTTTTTTCTTTACATTAGATCGACGTTAAAAAAAGATTTTTAACTAATAGGTTTGGAAACTTAGAAACAATTACATGTAGTACCAAAAGTCGGGAACCAGTTTTGCAAAAATCAGTTTGGTCAAAAGACATTTGATCGAGCTATCAATACATGTACTTGTGAGTTGTGAGTAAATACCGCAAGAAACAAGAATATACCCAAAAGTCACATTACACAGTCTCTCTGACTACTGGGCCCATCAAATAGACACCCAGAAAAACGGGGAAGTTATTTAGAATTGGGTTTTTCCTGGCCCAAATAATTGATTTGTGAACCTTTAGTTGCGTGATCCCTTAAGGTATGCACCATGACCTGGCACAGGTGTCGGACGCACACACGTAAACTAGTTAATGATTTACGCCGGGCATGTGAACACGGCCTATTGTTGAGGCATTCGGACATAGTTACCTCAGTCCTGCCACTGACTGAGCTTTGGTGAGTAATCTCTTATTTTAAGTTAAAGAGGTTTTTGGTTCCTTTGTTGACGGAATAGATAGTTATAAAATATAGTTGAATCGACCCCAGTTTACGTTTACATAATTATATTTGTATTATTATGCTTGTTGTGTGTGTGTGTATGTTGGCGTGTATGTGTGTGTGTGTGTGTGTGTGTGTGTGTGTA